ATCAAGTTCGAAACTAGCGCCAAATATTAACGTTACATTTGTGATTAGGACACTGAATAACCCCTGTATGCAAGTTTTGAACAAATTTGATGAGAACAGTTGCCGCGCCATGCCGGTGAATTTACCCGCTAATTTGGTATCCTCGCCGAAAATAACTACATATTTGTGATCAAGTCATCCGAAACTCCCACGAAGAGCTTCCATAGCAAAATCCATTTTCAGGTATCTTAAGTTATTTGGAGCCAGATTTCGGACATGAAAGTTGCCTTTTCTAATAAAATTTAAACGAAGAGCTCCACTGCGAGGGCTGACGCAAATTAAGGTAAGTATGATGATCGCTTTCATTTAAAAATATATTTCACGAAAGCTAAATTGCTCACTAAATTTTCACTTAAAGCCTGCCCGTCACACGTGGCTGACCTTGTTCGAAGTGAGCATCTTCGCGTCAGCTAGCGGTGGCTGGCTTTGTGGTGAATGGGTCAAAACTTGGTTAGGAGGCAATATTGGCCAGGGTTCACAGGATTGGGATAATTTGCAAAAAAAAAAACAATAGCCAGCGAAGAGGCCCCACTGAAGTCGCCTGCTACTCGTGGTTCAGTTTCGTTTCCAGTTAGCGACCGACATGACTTGTGAATACGCCAATACGCAATAAAACTCAACAAGGCACTTAAATCTTGAAAAGCATTCAAATCAAAATCAGCAAACACGCCTACCTCGGTCATAATAGTGTCAACAAAGTGTCTGTAGTGGATGTACTTCAGCGAATGACATGCTGCACAGACTTGCTTGTACACTTCATAACCCCGCCGCACCCTTTAAAATAAAGACCATAAGTAAATTTTCAGTTTACAGAACAGTACGTGACGATGAGATCTGCGTAATGCAAAATTGGAATACAAGCCTAGGTCAATTTTCCTCGCAAATTTTCTAATGAAGGTTTTCACAATTTATAGAACAAACGGAACGTTTTCGCAGAAGCTTTTTTAAATGGTTGCGGAAATTTGACAAAGAGAAAGATCAAGCTTGACGGCGAACTACGAGGGGTTAAAGGCGCCCTTAGAGTACCAGTGGTTGAAGGCGGGTTCGGTAAAGGATGAGAATTGCAAGCCAGCCATTAGTTTTGTGCTCAACTACGAAGAAGGCATATCGCATGACGCAGTAAAGACCCCACATTCGTAAAAGCAGCACTAAGCGGGACCCCTCAGCCGCATGCCAGATTAATTCCTTGACAGAGAATGTAAATAAACGTGGAAATGAACATAAAAAAATGTAAATAAAATATAACTCACGAGGCGATGTCAAATGACTCGAGCGCACCCCGATGGGACCAAGGTAACTTGAACGGATGTACTGCTTCTTCACTAGCGTGAACCGAGTTCTCTAATGCATAGATCAATCCACCTCCGGCCACAGCTAGGCCCGCGGCGACCACACCGACTCGCTGAAACCAATGACCAGGTTAAGCCAAATCACCAACTGAAACTGAGTGAACAAAGTGCTAGGCCAAAACAGCCATAAAAAGTCTTATTCTTCCATGTAACAAGCATTATATGTGATGCATTAAGCAGATTTTATGCCTTGTGCACGCGAAACGCTAATTGCGAGTGAGAAGCGAAGAGCGTGACACGACATGATACCCAAATGTAGCTTAGGCACTTCCAGAAGGCGATGTCAGACTTTGCGAATCGCGCGATTCGCTACTAGCGATTCGCTAGCGTCCGCGGTCGCGTTGCGGTACCAGCCAATTGAGTGATTCACTGGCCGCGACGCGACCGCAGACGCTAGCGAATCGCGCGATTCGCAAAGTCTGACATCGGCCTAACTGTGACATTAATCACGACCTCTTCCATGTGTGGCTGCTTCATAACTTGCCCCATTCGGAAGATAATAACAACATGCGCGCCTAACAAACTTCACACCTCACTACGTCGTTGTCGTTGATTTTTATCGTCTCCCGTTTATAACTCTGGCCTCTTTTTATGCCGATTTTTAAAGAAATTTATTTCTTCTAGTTTTAGTCCTTATCCTAAATGGAAGTACCCTTCTGAGTTGGGTCCTTCCGTTAGCGTACGGGCCATTCGAGTGTCGGAGTAGATACTTATCAACCGCTTGTTCTCGATTGCGCGATCCACGATTTCATGTGTGGCGACGCTATGTACTCCACGAAAAACGCAACTATAAACAACTAGCTTCCAATTACTTAGAACAATAAGTAAAAAAAAAGTCGCGCAGGCAATATGAAGGCACAGAACACTTTGAAATTTGGATTTCCACAGGTGAAAGCGAGGCCAAAGCTGATGTCACGTCACGAGCAGTTGGCAGCGCGTCTCCGCGTCTCCTCTCAATTTCACGACGCATAAGCCATGCTACCCTGCTCTTACAAGAACAGCGTAGTGGACTGTTGAAGATCATAACAATTAGTTGGTTTAAGCACTGAACACAAGTTACTATATTAGGCGCTGTCCTTCGGGGTGCACTGTAGTAGAATTGTTGACGAAAACATTGAAGAATCCTAGTGGTACGATAATGCTCATAAGGACGAATAAGAAAAGCGGGTTTTGCACTAGAGTGGATGAGCGGTCCTGATAATCAACGAGGATAAGGTGCCGGAAGTCCACTTACCACGTAGTCAAAACGCTGGGTCCACCCCTCGTGCTAGATATGATACCGTTATCGTTATCGTTCCGTTTTCATTCTGGAGTGCACCTCTTATCAAGCAGCCGCACCTTCTTATCTCATCGTATCATATCTTCCATGGGCTTACACTCGTCCAACAATTACTGCCTCACACCTTATCGACTGATAACGCTCCTGAAGCGGGCAAAACTCCAGTTCGCTTCTTCCCAAATTTAATCAGGTGGAGCCAGTTGGATCAGCTTCCTATTTTAAAGAAGCTATCACACGTGGCTTTATCGCATCTTCGCTTGTATTGCACCTTCCACATGCGATACAGTCTTGGGTTGCTGAACGGAAGTGGATTTCGGCGCCTTATCACTCCGTGATGAGGCGCCACTGCCACTGAAACTTCACGTGTTGTAACACTGGGCAGGACCTCTATCCACTCCAACACATAGCTTCCCTTATCGTTCCCATGAAAATTATCGTGTGGACCACTTCTTTAACTAATTAGGGAAAAACGAACTAAGCCTCAGGCAGTGGGGAGAGACTTCAGAATGCGTGAGCGATTTTCACCTCCCTGCAGCTCCTGTTAGAGGATGCCCCGTATGTTGCGTTAGCGCCCGATCATTATACGAAGTTATTACGATTTTGGAATATTCGAAGAAAACAAAACTAAACCTGTTTGGAAAATGTCGACAAAATTAGAGCAACTACATTATGAGCACTCCAATAGGGGAGAGATAGTTGTCAAGTGGTTCAAATGTTCCGCTGTTACAGCATTTTTAGTTCTTGTAGGAGAGAATCCTCGACAAGCGTGAATCACTTCGTTTTCGCTTTGGCATTTACCGCGGTAACCTCTTCCCCTCACAAATTGAAACATTAAGGGCACTGAGGGTGCTGTGCCTTTCAGTGAATGGCCCGCGACCATCCTCACCAATCTAGAGACCCCGCTATATGATTTCCAAAAGCTTATATATGACTGTACAAGCAGAGTTAGGTAGAATGGTCCAAACTCTTCTTTAGCTAAGAAATTTGAAAAGTCAGAACATCAACTACTGCTGCCTCAATGAAGGGAATTGATAGCCAATTCTGTGCATAGAAAGGAAGACAGGGAGCCAGGGGGGGCGAAAACGCCTCCTTATTAAAAAGGTCTCGAGTGACAAGCCTTAGTGAAAGCCAATGAATTGTTTAGGATCAAAGTGAAATTTCTTCGGCACTATTCAACTATTACAACCCCAAAATCTCAAAATTTTATTTTTCGTCGAAACTTCGCCTATAGGGGTAATTCGGTGCCCTGATTACGAAAATGACATTCATTTTTGGCGGTGGCGCCATCTGGCGCCAGTTGGCAACACCTTGCCACGCATTTGTTTCCACTAAACTCAGTGTAACTTCTTTAGATTATTTGTCTTCTGTGGATTATTTGTATATCGATTACGAATATGACATTTGTTTAGCATTTGCGCATATTTCCCGCTCTTCCGGGCTCTTTTACCTATACTTAGTGCCTGAGACTAAACTGACTGCAGGGCGGGTAAACTAGGCGCCAAATGGCACTGGCGAAGAAGAATGAACGTCTTATTCGTAATCAGGACGCCAAATAACCCTATCGAGGTTTACGCCGAATTTGGTGAAAATGTGTCGTGAGAAGGTGACCCCAGATAGCGCCCCGCTAAAAATAAATGTCATTTCGCACAGGGCATCGAATGACCCCTATGTGCAAATTTCTAAGAAACTAAAATTTCAAGATATTGGGGTAGCAATAGCTGTATAGTGACGATTCTTCAAGTGCAGAAAATTGAGACTTCTAGAAAAAAAAACTAGATTAGTTGCAATCGCTTATGAACATCGAAAAGAATGCGGTTTTCTAAATATAAAGGCTAAAATGAAATTGTCAGCGCATTAATGAAGAAATTCTGGCAAGTTGCCAATGTCAATAGAACGGCATCATTATAAGTTCTATTATCTGCTTCAACACTCTATCGAAGAAAAAAACCAATAATTAAACAAAAACAATTTTTCTGAAGCAACTCACTGAAACTCCTTGAGCCACGGCCCGCTGCATTACCTGCAAACGGATGAACTGAAATATTTTGAAAACTAGAAAATTGACGACGCGAACTGCAACAATATGCCGTACTAACGACGAGAAAGAAATTGCATATGAAGAAGAAAGCGATCAACCGGAGGAAGCATCAATGCCTCTCAGTATTACAACGATATAATAAGAAATTATAGAAGAAAAATAATCGAAGCAATGACGCCAAATTTGGCAGAATCCGCATTTACTCCTGGCTCTCCAAACCCGCCCAACTATTTCCCATCACTACTTTCTGTATCACCAGGAACAAAAAACTAGCAAATCTGCTACGCTTTTTATAAGTTAGCACCAGGTTGGCGCAAGCAATCACAGTGCAACGTCTACGAAAAACTGACGCATAAACGGTGACCGACTGGCGCACATTTGAACAGACGAACCGCCCGTCTCGCGTCTGCGCTGGGAATTCCGGAGGAATTTTTGGTTCTTGAAAGTGCGTTTATGGTTGGCGATACGGAAAAGAGTGGTTTCTGTCCTCATTTGTGAAGGGCTCGCTTTTTAAAGGCGTTACACAACATTTGGAGGATTCGACAAAAGAGGAATAGAATCAGCAAAAAAAGGAATAGATCAGAGAAACCGCCGTGTCCCGGGATACCCTTGGAGGGAGGGTGAATCCAACGGGGGCTTTTTGTACCGTAGGGGAACGTCGTGCAAAAAGTCGTGTGGTAGTCATGCTCCTGCTAAACGACCACTAAATTTGAGGAAGTTTTTTTTCTTTGAGATGGTTCCTCGAACTAAAAGACCCTTGACGGGAAAAGGGAAACAGGGGGGGGGGGGGGTGGCGCATTGTACTTGCCTCAATCCAAATATGCCTTTGTCAAAGAAGCCTCCAAGTATTCGTAAAATTAGCGGAAGAAAGTGCTGTACTGGGTGGGAGAACGAGTGCTACGAAACAATCGCTCAAATATGGTACTTATTTCATTTTCTCTGTGATACATTATAGAAGACACAGACACCCCTGCTTCAGTTCTACTCCCTCCGCGGCCGAGCGCATCTTAAAGGACCAAATAAAAGTGACAGTTTCAATGGCTCCTTATCTGCTAACGAGCAAGTTGTGGATCCAAAGGAGTGAATTTATTCTGTAAGTCAATTCATCAGTCAATTCGTACAGTACCCTTACTTTGCCCACAAAATCATTTTCTCTCATTTGATATTCTTTTTCGTTTCTCGTAACAGCACGTTCTGTACTGACACAAAATTGCGAAATCCAAAGTCAGTTGATTCCAACTAATTTTTACGCTATTTCCGTCAAATGATCTAGTCCGACGCATCACTCCCCCCCACCCCCCCCACCCCCGCACCCCCCACCCCCCCCCCCCCGCCCACCGTCTCAGCGATAAACACTAAGGGCTGCCCGTTGCACTTGGCTGGCGTCCAACTCTCCAGCTACACTGGCACACAGAGCTAGAATGTTATCGCAAGGGTGGAGCGATTTTTTTTGGCTATTACCCGTGGAAGGAACGCCGTAATTTTGGGCTGGGTCTGATGAGCATTAGCTTGCAAGGGTTTAGTCCTTGGAAGTGTGCGATGACGCATTCCTATGGTCAAAAATGCGTTTAGAGATGCTGGGTTTAGAGCCATTCCCTGACCGGGGTACTGGCTACATACGGCCCTTGAACAAAGGTCGTATAGAGAAAATCAGGCGTTGAGTTAGGTGCTTTTTCCAAGGGCGAATACGGTGCAAACTTCGTTGGAGACAGTCGCCGCCGGGGCATGCGGCATGTTGTGCCCTTTTGTCTAAAACGAGGAATTCATGGGCTAGGGAAGGGGGGGGGGGAGTGGCGAGGGGCTCCCCCCCCACCTGGGTGAGCGCCGTGAATGCTATATATATAAGTTGAACCGCGGCGCATTGAGGACTTTCCACATTCTAACGTCTTCACGGCGCATTCAGGATCATAATCAGCAGACCCACCCCCCCCGCTACCCTGAACTGGTAGAGAAGTTACTTCTCCGCGAATTGACCGACAGCAGCGGCAACTTACAGTAGAGCACCATCCGCGTATGCTGCACTACCTTTCTCACTTTGAGTCAAAAGTGTGGGCACAATAAGAGATACGAGTGTAAACGGCATCAAGCTTCTGTTTATCTGAGCTGGAACGGATGGAAATAAAGGGGTACCCTCTGCAGAGGTGGTCCGGAGTTACGCTGCGTACTTACCTAATACCGTGACTTCTCGAAGCCATGAGAAGCTCCTTACCAGTTTTTTTTTGGGTATTTCCAGTTAGGGGGCGCGTGATTTTTCGGAAGGTTAGGGTTACTTCGAGCTTGGGGGAGTGTAGCCACGAGTCTACGGGGGGGGGGGGGGTGGTGAGTGCAGTCAGCTGACAAAGGATAAAGGATAAAGCATTTGCCGTTGATCAATCCCTTTTTGGGATGCGGCACGCATTCTACTTCCATTTGTACATTCGCAGTGGCGTTTGAATGCGATGTGGCCTATACAATGACTTGCGGGGGCCAAGTCAGTGTTTTTTTATCCTCCCAGACAAGTCTGGTACCAATTAACCGACCCCGGAGGGATGGAAGGCTTGGTTGGCCCGGGCGACTCACGACCCAGGATTTGATCCCGGACCGCTCGCGTGGTGAGCGCGCCACTTGTCACTACACCACTTCCGCCCCTGCACATACGTGAAAAAATTGGAGAGTTCAAAGTTCACAATTAGCTTCACCAAAGAAACTGCATCATGATTCCGCTCCTAAGTGGAATAGACCTTCATTAAGGTGAAAAGGAACTTAGGACGTGAATCCTCGTACGCCCCATGGATCATGCCCGACCGCCATTGTGGGCGCTAGCGGATCATCTGTCTCCTGTCACTGATCCACTATGCTCTTTCGCCTCGAAGTCTTTTGAACACTCTTCTCGGATCCACTATCTCTTTTCCAGCTGTCTGCTACACAGGCGAGCCGGAGACGTTCAGTTTCCCTCCTAGGTCAGGTCAGCAGAGCTACGAGATCACTAAATTCTGGTTATGCTTGGGCTTAGACCTTAAGGTTTTAGGGCCATACAATGGCTTATGTTTGAGCCTATGATATGGCTTAGGTCTAGTCTCCTAGGCTTGCTTTCGAGCAAATGAGTGGTGTCTTGATTTTTGGTGACCTGACCTGACGAGGAGAAACTGAAACGGCACCCGTTCCCTTTCCCCCACCCCCCCGCCCCGCTTCGCATCTTCTACTTGCCATATTCCGAAGTGGAATTAATATTTTAGTGTGTTCGTGGAGTTTCCCTGCGAATAGAATTCCCTTCTTCCAGAAGAGGCTAACTGTGACGAGGTTTTTTTGTGTCTCACTTACCGCATGTCTGACAGGGCAGTCATATGGTAATCATTCACAATGACTTTACTAAGAAGCTCTTCTATCATTCCATAAATAAAATCAGCAACGGATATTCTCCAGAACACAGGTGTTGGATGGTGTTGCACCTGTGAGTGCTGAGGCGCTCTCCCATTTCTTCAATAGATGATCACCACTGTTGGACACTTCAAGTCATTCAGGCCTCCCATCCTTCTGTGTTAACATCGGCTCAAATACCACTTCTTTTATATATAGCAAAACATGGGCAAAATACGCAGTTAAAATTCTGATTCTGAGAAGAAGTTGAAAACATGGCGGGCATCCTAAGAAAGGATACAGGCAAGGCCTACTGAAGCTGATTTCAGACTTGCGATCCAGCGATTCGCGAGGTACGAGCGTTGCAAACGTCCCATCGGATCAAACGGAGTACCAGGGATTAGCACTGTTTGAAAGTGGCGATAGTCCCTTCCGTTATCAGCGCAAGTTGATTTTCCGCCACTTTTCCTGGGGCTTTCATGGCCCTTTCGGTCCGGCAGAGCCCACGGCGACCCTGGGAAAGTTTGTGAGTGCATACGTGCGAACGAAAGGTCTCGCCTTCTATTATCAAACACTGCCAGTCCCGCTGGTGCAGACGCTCAGCACATCACACTAATTCGCTAGTCGAATCGCTGATTCGGCAAAGTCTGCGACAAACCTGTTAAAGGAATCTTCCACGGAAAAAGCTCCGCCCTCATTACCACAGAAAACGATACCTTAAAGGAATCTTCCACGGAAAGAGTGATCATTTTGTCTTGTGTGTAGGATTAGTATTATCGAAACTAACGCTTATGTTCCGTTCTTTTTGCTATGCTCATGAGGCTAGGGGCCTAAGGGGTATCGTTTTTCTGTGGTAATGGAGGCGGAGCTTTTTCCGCGGAGATTCCTTTTGAGAACAGTTTACCATTCCATTGCGTGCATTATGTGCTCTAACGCCTAGAGCAAAGCCTATTCACAAACAACTCTCTCCGAAGGACAAATTTATTCAAAATATAAAACTAAACAAAATTGTAACAACACAACAGTAACAAACAAATCCTGAACCGAGCCTGAGATGCTTGGCTACCCGTCACTTTGCGCAGTTCATCGCCTCAGCAATGAATTTTCTCGCCTGTTCACAGCCGAACATTAGCAGCTGCAGTTGTTCGACTCAGACCGATACTTCAGCGCAACTCGCTGCGCATCTCAAAACTGAAGGTCTTGCGGCGAACCTTTCGGGGTCGTTTCCTTTTTCTTGCTCTTGTCCTTTTCACGCATTTCTTCTAGTTGAATGTAGTCTTTTAGCTGAGCGTGAATACGCCCAACCAATCTCCTCTCCACTTCTGACAACATCGCTGACTTGAACCTTTAAAATATATATTGTATTAGGTTGTCCCATAATTAGTGAATCACTTTACATTTATTGTTATTAAAAATCCAAGAAAAATGGTGAAGGCATGAAACATGTTTTGCGAAGTAGCATCCACATTATCCTACCTGAGCGATTACTCGGCCCATGTACATGCTGCCTTCCGTGGCTGATACTTCAATTTTTCTGGAACCTATTTTTGAGCTCCCCTCTTAATCACTTCTGATTAGGATCTTTCAATACGCCCAACAACATAGAGAATCAACCAGCGGATAGGCGAGGGCACGCTCCCTCAATCCGCGGTCTGCTTGTAATTCACTCTATCGAGAGGTTGGCTTTTTGAGTTGAAGATGACCCACACTCCAACTACCCCTCAAGTGGCAATCTCACTGCTGTACCCAGCGCCACTGAGGGTGGATCTGGACAAACTTGTCGCCATTTGCTGGAGCATGTCCGGCTTATTAAACTGATGGAATGTAGACATCTAAAACTGTTAGAGTTGTAAAGAAATTTTAAAATATTTAGTTTGTATCTTGTATGCTGTGAGCCCGAAACAGCTCCACACACGATCTGACATCATCATGTTCCTTCTGATCTCTCTTAGTTCCTTACAGTGATCATCCGGCATATGCATCAGGGTTCTGGACTGGGTGGAGTGTACTAGCAAATCTCCAACAAGCAGCAGCTTAGCATGAAGGGTTCGGGAGTTCTGACAGCAAAAGCCGAACCCCCTTTGAGTCCGACCCTTCCGAGATATTGTATGAGCACGAGAGTGACCTTACGCTGGGAACCGCCGCCCAGTAATACTAGGGTCACTGAAGAAGATCAGCATCTACAGCGCAATGGCGACGCGTTCAATTTGAAAGTAAAGCAAGACAAAGTCTGCTTTTTTCCTGAGGTCGTTCGACCCCACCTTGCGGAGAATATTCATAAAAAATTGGAGACTTCCAGGCTAGCACTTCTTTCACCTCCTATATGTGGCCCTATCCTCGTGTCAACAAAATACAACTCAGTCTGACCTCTAGCGCTCTTCTCCAGGAAGAAACTTTACGCTTAACCAGGAAGGTCTTTCAGGGCGTGACGAGCTTTTTGAAAACGGTCTTTTGCATGATATAGGGGCAGATGCGGGGACCACAGAACCATGTTTAATTTTTCCTGAACGGCCCTCTGAATACCAGAAAAGGGGTCCCTAGTTCGATTCCTCTTGGTGACAAATTTTTGCATTTCGAGTTGACGTTCCAAAATTCGCGCAAAATGGAGTTAGCATGAATAATTAGTACCATATTCATGATTAGGGCCGTCAGTAACTCCTACAAAAAGACTTTGACTTAAAAATTGGTGTGAGAGGTGTGACATCAAGCAGCCCCACTGTGGTGTCACACCTTTTTCACCAGTTTTTAATCAAAGTCTATTTGTAAGGGTTACTGACGGTCCTAATCATGAATATGGTACTAATTATTCATGCTAACTCCATTTTGCGCGAATTTTGGAACGTCAACTCGAAATGCAAAAATTTGTCACCACGAGGAATCGAACTAGGGACCCCCTTTTCTGGTATTCAGAGGGCCGTTCAGGAAAAATTAAACATGGTTCTGTGGTTCCCCGCATCTGCCCCTATATCATGCAAAAGACCGTTTTCAAAAAGCTCGTCACGCCCTGAAAGAACCTTTTTGGTAAGTGACATGACCTCAAACTCGACTTCCGATCTTTCTTCGATCAATAGCTCCTGGAATTCTAGAGATAAGACAGCGACTAAATTTCCTTGTATAGGCAATACATTGTAGATGACAGAGATGTATGTTTGGATGAGCAAAGACTCCACATAAAAAAGAAAAAAATTTGAATTCAAAAATACCCAAAGTGATTCACTAATTATGGGACAACCTAATATTTGAGGCGTGATGTATTATATGATCGACATTATGAGAAGAATTTTCAATAATCCGAAATAGAAATGGATTCACAAAATCTTCGCGGATGTCGAAATACTCACTAGAAGGACTGCACCTCTCTAACCCCGGATTGTGGCTATACCTGCTACATGGATAACATGGGTAGGTATGCTACGCCGCCATAGGTGCCACATTGTGCATGAACACACGGTACGCGGTCAAATCCTGGTCAATTAACTAATGCCACACTCTCTCGCACAAACCAACAACCACCACAAGCTTTATTGATTCAAACGATGCTGGATGGATGTAAAACGCATGGCGCATCTCGACAGGGGACGGATCACGGGGAATTGTTTATCTATTTTGCAACCTATGACGACCGCAAATCATGCTATGTACCTCAATTTCGAACACCTTGAAAAATTACCTTGAACGAGTAATCTTCCGCATGTGGAGACGGAAAAGTCACCCTTCAATGGGGAAGATTTCACCCTTTCATGGTCAACAGTTGCGGCCCCTCTAGAAGAAAGGGGGGAAAGTTAAAAACTATTGAAAAACACAAGAGGCGGGTAAGTACGCATGAAGATGCCTGAACCGAAGAGGAAGAAAAAGCGCTGGTAGAAACTGTCCTCTAATTTCGTTTATTTCGTGCATTTCCCATCAGTTCATTGTTAAAGTATCACCACAACAAAAAAAGTAGTTCGCGACATTTATTTTCACACCAAGCCAATCCAATAGAACAACAAAAAAACCTAACTCCCTACCCTCCACAAATAAAGCCCCCTCCCGTTCGCACTTTTCGAGAGATGGTTAAACTTGGTCGAATCCCAAAAACCACAAGCTTTCCCAAAAATCACAGCATATCCCCTTGCTTCGAATCTTACGGACGCTTGACCGTGCCTAACGCGTTGCCGCGTAATCATTTTGCAATAATAAATTTGCAGTTACAGTGAGATCCAATCAAGTAAAGCAGTATGTGCAGAAGCACGAAATGCTCACCTTTTTATGGCTAATTGTTTGTACCAAAATAAGAATGAGTAATAATCTGCTATGCAATGGGCAGCATGTCATTATAACGAACATCTTCCAGTAAGCCCAAGAAACTACCCAGTTCCTCTTGAAACGGCTCTTCACTCAAATATCTCCTGTAGATATCAACAAACCAAGCCACTACAGTGGATTCGTTTTCAAGCTCGGATCGTTCTGTAAATCACATATCAGCATGGAGATAACAGAAATTAATAAAACAGCGTCATGATGATATTACTGCAAAAAATGTAAGGCCGATGTCAGACTTTGCGAATCAGCGATTCGCTAGCGCCCGCGGTCGCGTCGAATCGCAAGGTCTGACATCGGCTTGAGTTAATTTCTATATGTTTCATCAATGGTTGCAGCACACAGCTTGAAAACGGATTTTAGAATGAAAAGGCAGCTCATCAGAAATTGAGCTAGAGATGGTCAGTGGTACGCTAAAGAAGAATGTTACCTGAGAAGAGTTGGCCCAAACATGAGAAAATGGTCGCCTTCCTGCCCGCTGGTTACAGATTATGCGAACAGCATCTTGCCACCTCTTCAAACGCTAAAAAGTTCCCTTTTTCCTGAACAGTAGAGACTCAGACATGAGATGACCGCAGGAGGCGGCGCGTCGCTTCAATTACGACGCCACCAGAAGGCCATGCTATGTAGTTCGCCAGAGCATATCCTCCGATGCGATTTTGTGAGTCGGTCGCACCACCTTAGGCCGATGTCAGACTTTGCGAATCGCGCGATTCGCTAGCGTCTGCGGTCGCGTCGCGGCCAGTGAATCACTCAATTGGCTGGTACCGCAACGCGACCGCGGACGCTAGCGAATCGCGCGATTCGCAAAGTCTGACATCGGCCCTTAGGAAAGTCCGCCTAACTTATGCTTACGAAGAAAAGTTTCCCCCTCTTCGAGCTTCGTTCTTATCATGGAATCTTCTTTAACCCATAACGCGACCCGGCGTGCGCACACAAGGTGGCCGCAACGAGAACTAATTTCTATTGTTTTGGAATGTTTTAGAATCTTAACCATCGGCGGACTAGTGTATTATTCGCCGTGCGCGCACCCTTGTGGCCGCACGCTGGTCCCCACCCGGCACCTCCAGGGCAGGGTTTATGTAGGCTTATGCGAACAGCAGGGTTAAGACAGGGCTAAAGTAGGTGTCCGTGTCTCATCATTCAAAAGAAGAGATTTCCATTGACGTGACAGTTCGTAACCCGCCTTTCCGCTTTGAAACTAGGGTGCAAAATAAATGGAAGCTGTAGGTGACACTTACTCCGAAAAATGCCACCACCCGAGCAAGGTGTGCTACTATTTAATGGGGAAGGGTTCGCGGACTGTCATGGTAAGCCAACCATCAAATAGGCCAGCCCTTATGTAAAGTAAAGACAGAGAATGTAGTGTGACAATTTATTGTAGGTTTGTCCCAACAAAATTCCAGTCGTTCCCCCAGGTTCCTGACGAACATATTGTTATTCCCCACGTTGCTGGAGTATATCGTTTTGTTCAGAAACATCCCAGAAACAAAGAGAAATAAATCGTGCGCCACCTTGTGGCGCAACCCGCCGTCGCGTTTAGGGTAATATACCCCATAATATTACTCTCAGCGAGAGTGGTGGAATAACATATCTTCCCAGGACCTGGACGGCTGGATTTTTGACAAAGCTACAATAAATTTTACATTCATTTTGTCTTAATTTACATAATTCTATTTGATTGGGTGGCTTACCCATGATTCGCACGTCCCGAGACCCCTTCCCCTAAATATAGCCACATCCTTGCTCGGGGTTGTTGTTTCGCATTTTTCGATAATGTCACCTACAGCTTCCATTCATTCTTTGCACCCTAGTTTTAGAGCGGAAAGGCGGGCTACGAACTTGTCGTCAACGGAAATCTCTTTTTTCGGATGATGAGACTCGACACCTAACTTTAGCCCCGCCTTACTCCTGCTGTTCACATAAGCCTCTGGGTGCGGCGTGCGCACAATGGATGCGCACGCAAAAATACACTGGCGTCCCGTATCGGTTAAAAAATGGGCTGCGGTGTTACTACCACATCGACCCATGAAGAACAGATATGCACAATGTTATAAATTAAAGGCGGATCACGATAAAAAGACAGTCATCAGAAATCAAGTCATATGTGGTTAGTGATGCATGAATGTAAAAAGCCAAGAACCCGAGAAATGGCCCTTTTTGCCTGTTGATTTTTGCATTGGGCACTCTAGCTGGCAATCTTTCAATGCGCCGCTCTGCTCTGCCACCAAACCACCGCGCCCCCTTTGCCAGCACTGCTACCTCGTTGATGTTTCACCTCACCCAGGGACTAAACGCGCGTTCGATCAGCTTCCTCGCCCTTTCCCGTCGGAATACGTCGTCTCTCATCCACTACATGAAGCTGGTCACGGCTTTTTTGTACTTATTATATGACCAAAAGCAAGTCTGCCACTGTCCAACACCCCCGTTTGACACTTTCCTCCAATACCACCGAAAAGACAGGTGGGGGTAAGGGGGGAGGAGGGCGGGAGGAGGGAGGAAGTTAAATATCTACCTCAAAAAACGGCAAGCGCTCTAATTCCACCTATTTCATGTAATTTTCTCGAAGGTTTCGCAAAAATTTGTCAGAAAACCCAGCAACCACGACACCCCATAACTCACAATGATGAACCCTTCTACTCTTCGCCTTCGTCAGCCTCTGCGACTTCTGTTTGATCGTCCGAGAAGGACGGACGCGTCGCTGTCCACATTTTACTCTCCACATTCACCATAATAAGTTTGATTTTTCTACTGACTCGCCGCTATTTTTCATTTTTTTTTTTACTTTTTCGACTCTGAAAAATGGTTATCGATTGTAGACGAGAAAATCAATAAAAAATCAAGAAAATCAAACTCTAGTCGATTACGAAAACAATCACAAAAGTGTACTGGCAACCATTTCTGCATTGTGTTAAAATACTTACCAGACGGTTCACTGAGATAATTGCTTGCCAAGACTCTTGGCTGCGGAATAAAGTGTATCATTTTTGCAACTTTATCCTGATCCGGTACAACAGAATGAATCGTATGATCAAAGTATTACCCCGAATCGTAATACATGCACATACTTTTGGATGAGAGTTCAGATTGGGCTGAAAGCGACTTTAAAGCTGTAGGCTTTTTTGGGGAGACCGCTGTTTTTGGCCATTCAAGGAAACGAGGACCTACCCAAGCAAATAAATGGTCCGCTTCAGACTCCAGCTTCCTCCAAATTACCGCCTAGATCAACGTCCTAAGCCTTGTCAATTAGTTTCACCAAAAATGTCTTCTCGTCTGAAATGAATCAAAACAGAACTCACATGCTACAGGAAACGTAGAAACCAAGGCGGACAGTGATAGTTTATCCAATGCTCGGAATGCTCCATGTATACAAGAGTCCGTCTAGAGTCTATGGATGTTTCAATGCGTTCTAATTCTATAAAAGAAAAGGAGGGGGGGGGGGCACCCTCGCAACATCATCACACTTAGTCGGGTGCGGCGTTGAGGGGTTTTCTATTTTCCTCAGCGCACTCCTGGTCGATATTTTTTAGATATCCCTCCATATTGCAGATAACACGGCCCTCCTTTCTGCCCTCCCCTCTCAGAAATATGACGTCAGCCTGCCATCTTCGGCAGCCATGCGAAGCCTTATCAGTAGTGCACAGTGTAATTAATGCCGTTTAATGTGCTGGGAGTCGATCATTTTTCTGCCTCCCCCCACTTCGGTAACACCAAATGACTTGTAGTGCATCGACTTGCGATATCTTTCTTTCGTGAAACAATAAATCCTTGCCCAACTGATCACCTACAACCAAGTGGAAGAAACAGACATTTGAATTGAGCACCACAGACGACATGTGTATGCTATACGTAAGTAATTGAAACATAGCAGCATTTAACACGTTGACGACATCGCGCGTTTTGGCATTTTTGGCCGCGTGGGACCAGAGCGGTTCTGCGAGCGCCGCCGCCTCACAACAAATCTGTGGATTTTGAGCTTTAAATACGCAATACTTCGATGCGACAAAATGTTTTCACTGATATTCGGTGTGTCAAACTTATTGGAAGGTACACATGTGAAAGTGCGGTCGAATGATGTGTTACAGCATTGAAAAGGCAAGTTTCACTTACTTTTGCTTTAGTGATTTCAAAATTATTTTGGACGTGGTTGTTTCGGTAAAAACACATATCTTGCCACACGAGTAGCTTTGTACTCACTTCTAATATTCTTTTTTATCTACATGTTCGTGTTAATGAAGAGAAAATGAGGAATGAACTGAACGGATATTTTCGTCCGGTCCGAAAAACCTCTGCCAAACTAAAGAATATTTGGTCATTCTATAAGCCGCGTGGTTCTTGGTTATGTTGTGGTATGGCCTAAAAATGAACACAAAAAACCTGGGAAGAAATGGCGCGTTCAAGAAAAAACTGAATGTAAAGGGTGTGGCAACTATAGTTGCCACAATGTCCATTGCGGCGTGCAAAACGCGGCAAACCTAGTTGCCGCGCTGTCGTCAAGGTGTTAACAAAGACTTGGCTACTGTAACGTACATTGATTTAGCAAAGAATTTTACGCTGAGCCCGTATCTTGGAGCCGAGTAAAAATATGGAAGTGTAGGTTACCATTGAGGAGAAAAATTATTGAATACACGGACTTGTACTCGTTTTCGTGAAGGTAAGTCGTCAAGCCATCCACCAAATCGTCAGTGCCAAAAATGCCGAATGATAAACATGTGGAATGACACTCGTCGGCTGAACAGTAATCGTCGCGAACTAAAAGGAATCACTAAAAGCGTGATGTTTAATCATGGCGTCACTGAAAGCTTTGGAGCTCTCAATTCCGAATATGAGGCATTTGAGTACACCTATATTTTATCGATAAGCATGCGAGAGTTCTCCGTTCAGCCAACCATAAGTGAGCTGTTTTCTCAGATAAAGTCAAGTCATGATTCTGCTTGGCTTTAATCGAGCTACTTCTGATATTTCGGCAGCTGCAAGATATGCGCCGAACGGTGAGAGGTAGTGCGTAACAAGGCCAGCATACAGAAAATGTGGCGCATGGTACTATAGTCCGCAGCAAGAGGTCCTCTCCCAAATGAGAGGAAAAAGCGACCCACCCCCAACATTGGTAAATTAGCACTCTTTGCAACTTTCCATATGTCCGCCCCTGTTCCGCTACGCACGCAGCAAGTGTCGGAAACACGCCTGCATTCAGATAAATCCAGATAATCAGGAACAAAGGGCGAAAACTGCCCAGCCCGCATATATTTTATGCAGTTGTTAAATATTATCCACAAGACTTATCGGTTCGTCGCATGTTTGCCACCGAATTCGTCAATAACCAACTAACAGCTGTCACTTAGAGGCCCACGGTCAAGCTCAGAGTGAGTGCAGGCGTGGCCAGGAAGTGAAAAACGGTCACAACTGATGGTAAGTTTGAATCCTCACCAATAAAAGGGCAGAGCGTTCTAATAAGTGATTAGCGAGTACTAAAAATTCATAGCCCGATCATAAGAAATTCTATGAACCAGGAAAAATGTATTTTAAGGGTGGCCGCACGACAGACGGCCAAACATACGGCAGGGGAGGGGAGGGCTTTCAGCCAGATTAACGTAGGCGTGGATGCTAACTGCTACTAACTCATCATGAGGGTGCATACAAGACCAGTTAGACGCTGCGCCGCCCGATCTGATGAGTATACGGAGGTAAAGCAGAAGGGATGGCTGGACTCATCGGTGATCGCTGTTAAGAGAGTGACTGACTGGTACCCAAGGGGGAAAACAAGGTGCACGGGCAGACCTCCCATCCGGTGGTGGGCTGACCCTCTCGTGAAGTTGTACGGCCAGTTGTGGCGCAGAAGAGCCCGAAGCAGAGCGACCTGGAAGATGTGCGACCTGCGTTTCTGGCGTGCCCAGGACAACTAGCGGTCGAATGATGGAGAAATCGTGGGGGAGTGATGTCTTCGCAAATGTGTAAGTGGCCGGAATGAGCGGAGGGACCACCATAATGGACGTAACAAATACTTAGGTAGGCGTGGGTTTATTTAAGTCCTCAAGATTCCAGAGCAGTTCAGAAACAGGGAAGAAGTGGATATAGGCAGTCCAAAGACAGGCCAGTGGCTAGCGGTAAATGGAACCAGGAATTTTGCAGAAAACTCACGTAGTTTCGGTGAGAACGGGTGACTTCTGGAAAACAAAACCAGAAGAGGGAAAGCAGCCGGCAGTTCTGGCTCAGTGCTGTGAACAGCTTGAACAAAAACCTCAGACATTCTTAACATTCAATCATAATTTAAACACGCTAACGGAATTCATGGCGAACTGGTACCTCTCAGGTATCACAAAAGGTATCTCACTGAAAGAAAACAGAACATGAGCAATTTCCAGCGCAGGATGCAGCAAATTCGCATCTTTACTGGACGGCAAATTTTCTGCGAGTTTCACTGGTAGAACATCTCGAAATTCTTGCCACTCAGCAGGGCTGCAACGATTGGTTCATATAGACATCTCACGTTTCACGAAATGAAGAACTTACTGCAATTCTCTAAAACTACTGTCCAATATGAGACCGAGCTGGCCGATAAGCACATCGTTCAGGTGAGGAGACGATCGAGCAATGATAAAATTGAAACAGATACGAAACTTCAACAGCTCCGGGTGGATCGCACTGAAAATAAATTATTCCATATTAATAAATCCAGAATCATTCAGAAGCGTTCTATCCTTTGTCTAATCATTCATTCCATAATTAGACAAAAGATAAAGCGCTTGGCGTTGACAAGTTCCTTTCAGAATGCGCCACGCATTCTACTTCCACTCAGAATAGAAGTGGTATTCGAACCGCATGTGGCCTATACAATGACTTGCGGAGATAATCCTGTGTACGTGTTGGTGTTAGTGATCTCCTAGACGAGTCTGAATATTAATCGACTGATCTTGGAGAGATGGAAGGCCTGATGGTTTTTGCCAGAAGTAGAGCCAGGATGTAACCCTCGAACGGTGAGCGTCATAAAGGAGGCAACACTTGTCACTACACAGTATCAATCTATGGGAAGAATTAGTGGATGTTTGAAGAAAAAAAATTATTTTAAAGATGACATTTTTGATGTTCGCCAAGGATAAAGGATAAAAAAGGATAAAGCATTTGCCGTTGATCAATCCCTTTTTGGGATGCGGCACGCATTCTACTTCCATTTGTACATTCGCAGTGGCATTTGAATGCGATGTGGCCTATACAATGACTTGCGGGGGCCAGCCGATGTACAAGTCAGTGTTTTTTATCCTCCGGATGGAAAGGCTTGGTTGGCCCGGGCGACTCACGACCCAGGATTTGATCCCCGGACCGCTCGCGTGGTAAGCGCGCCACTTGTCACTACACCACTTCCGCCCTTAACCAGGATACTACTAGATATGTAGACATCAGAGCCGGTGCTGGGAAGAGGGGCGCTCAAAAAAGTCTATGAGTCGATTTTTTAAAAGAAATCGATTTTCTGGCCTGGAAGACTTCTTATTATTAGAAAGTAATAAAATAGTTCACTATGAGTATAACCCTTAGTATACCGTAAAAAGATGCGCCTTTCATATTGGAACGAGCGGCAGATGGCTTGCTCTGCACCACTTATCAACAGATAGCTGTCTGGAGCAGCCACCCAAAGGTCAACTTCAGCAGAATTTGCCAGTATCTGCTTGCCCATTCCGTGAGCTTATTGTTAAGTAGCTGATGCTTTTGGAAATGAAAATGAGCCGGGCACAGAAATACTGGATATGTTCACTTAACGCAAATGAACCCGTTAGCGACGAAACAATCAATGGCCACGATGAAATGGACCCTCTGTTTCAGAAACCAGAAGCGCTTCGAGTGCAGACCACACACAACAAGTGACGACGGTCTCAAAGTGAATCTTCTAATTAGTCATTCATAGTGGTAGATATTAGTGACAACTGATAGAATACAACTGCAACAGGCTAATCATTTCATTGGCAGAAAACATTTACATTTTGTGGAGGCCG